CCGACATCAAAGGGAGAAACAMCTCGAAACGTTACCTATATAAATRCAATTGAAAAATGTTTATTCAAAAATAATCAGCAGGGTGYCAAGAATTTCGAACGTTTAAAGACGTATTGAATTCAAGGGTTGCATGCAGATTTACAGGGTTTCTCAAAATTATAAAACCATTATTATAACAATTTTTTAAATTTTACATTAAATATGGTCTAATTTTATGATTTTTCTTGTTTTCGTATTCGTATAGTATAAAAAACACGTTAAAAATAAAATAATTATAATAACAATCAGATATAAATTATTATCAATACCGAGTATTCATAATATTATACATCTTCCTTCTTGAATAAAACATTAGGTGTTTTTGAAATATGAATCACTGGTACGTGTGTCAAACACATAAACTGTGTTTTTCGTTAAATGTTTTATGAAGATCTTTAAATTTATACATATTGTTGAGCAGGAATTTTGAGACACAATTGAACCCACCGAGAAGGTAAAGAAACTACATTTTAGGTCGGTAATAAAAATGTGTAACGTTGTACACACAAATAAAAACCAAAAATTTTAATGTGGGTGGGGATGGCATAACGTCAAAATTAGATGCGAATGTATGTTCGAACAGTATAGCACGTTAAGTGTTTATGAATCGTTCAATCCGTAAATATCATTTCAGTAATGCACGTGTTTTAATGTCTATGAATGTKATATTAATTTAAATAGTAACTATGGWACCTTTTATTGAAATCACTAAATATTTTCCTTATCCGAGTAAGTCTTTATACTTTATTATGACTATAGGATAACCTAAATAGTAAATATTATTCAATAAAATGCTTACATTTTAGTATTTCGCGTTTAAGAATAACAAACAAAATTTAAAAATTTGACTATCTATTGTCAAATAATATGTAAACATAAACGTTATTGACTCATACAACAATCATGTGTACCGTTCGATCAATGGCAAGTATCCAATTACACGCTGTTTAGCATAATATTTTTGTTAGTTATGATAACTTTGTATATTTCCAATTTTTAAATCGCTTATAATTTTAAACTATGATAGTTCGCTTTCTATACTACTTTAAAATAAAATATTTAACTTGGAGAAAGTTTTATTCTAAAGAATATAAATTATTCTTTCCTAATACGTTTTATTTTCTTCTATATTACGTGACCAGTCATAGACACGAAGTCGATACTTATTGCTTGTACGATTATGATAACTCTACATTGTTTGTATCGTATTATATTATTGTGTTGTTTTATTTTGTATTTTTGACTGTTGAATTTAATAACACGTAATATGAACTTATCCATGGCTCACAGAGTTTCTAATTTAAATTTAGTAAAATTTAATTATTTTAYTTTATATACATATACAATATGTATAATATAATAGATAGTACTTACAGTTTTGATACAATAAGAGCTAAAGAGTAATTTTATCATCGTTTAATATATATTTATACTAAGTTTCAATATGACGGAACTATTGCWGTGCACATGTTGGTTCTCAGTTCAGGGTACGAAGAACTTTCAACTGATGTCTGAGGTAGGGGAGGATAGATATTTATTATTAACGGCCTTTAGAGTTTGCCGCTTGGGGTGTTTGGAAGGGGCTGATAACTTATATGCGTGTAGTATAGTGGACACCATAATGATATAGTTAATGGGAAATAATTGAAAAGGGAGTTTTGAAGAGGGAGATGAGCTATAGTTTTTGTCAACTTACTGAAAAAAAAACTGAAGTGTAAAACATACTTAGTAAATTATACACATACCTGTTATTTTTTATACAAACTATACGTTTTACTTTACATTACTGATTCGTTCTATATGAATATTTATGTTTTTTCATAATATRGTTATTAAACATATTACTATAGATTATAAACTTAATATACTAAAAATAATATAAATATTTTTTATGTAAGAATATAACATATAGGTACACCTACATATGGTCACGTTTTTCTCACCGTAGAAATTATAATAATACAAAAATATCTGCAGGTCAATGTGCATAAGCGTCGGATACGTTCTTTTGTCAGGTACCGGGGTCTGTTCAAAATATTTCCAAAGAAATCGCTCTTTCTACCTGGGATGCAGACCAAGTGGTCAGCCCAGGATGGCAGGATTAGCATATAATGTATAGATAGTATACGCAGTGCACATGTGTCGAAGATTATAATGTGTACAATAATAAAATATACATTTTAAATGTCCGTATCGACCCTGAATCGGCATTTTCGAAACTGCTGGTGGTATATTTTGTATGATGTATATTTTCACAATGAATGGTAGCCTGGTGTTATTTGAAATATATAATGCAAAAATATACATACACGTACACACACACGCCATATAATACATCCTTCCAATTTTAATACCCTACTAAATATTATAAGCCACACGCGCGTGGAATATGTATATCGAATATCGTGATAATCCGTGTGTTTGAAATATTTTGTTTAATTTACATACTGTTATACACAACCTAGTTATGGAAGTAGTGACCAGAATAAATAAAATAGGTAGGTATTCCGACGTTTTTGGCCAGCAGTGCAGACAGTGCAGTGGACAAGGGAGCGGGTATTATTTTAGCCCTTCATTTTTAACGTATATACTAGCTATTTTACTTATTTGTTTAGGGTGAGCCTTTTGAACCATGTTTAAATTATTAAAATATTATTCGCGAATACTCAATTTTACATTATTTTTCGATTTGAGATTCAAATTATGTCCTCTGTATTTTGGCCTGTTTACAGCCGATGTCTATTTATTTATTCATTTTTGTTTTTTCGTAAAAAAAAAAAAACTCGATTCAAATTATTCTCCCTTCGGTGAATGATTCAGACTACAGCTCACTCGAATATGCAAGATTTGCTGACCCCTATATTACAGTCCGCCCCCGAGCCAACATCTGCGATGTATTGGGGAATATAATGAATATACGTGCGGCAAACATTCACAGAGCTGTATTACTATAATGTATTCCATGTACATATATCCAGTTTCGAGACAAAAACTACCCTCATTTTTGGGGATTTTTCGCCTATATGTACATGGATTACGCATGCACGGTCGCTCTTATTTGCGAGGGTATTAGAATATGTCACACACAAACAACGATCAATATCTAAATGAGTCATTCTGCGAGTTAGTGAAATCAAAAGGTCTTTTTGTACATGAGAAAAATAATTGTTCTGCTATACACAAACAACCAACCCAACGCAATTACTTGTACTTAAATAATATATTGTCTATATATGATCAGTATAAAACCTGAAGAGCTGTTTTACACCTTCAATATTTTTCAATAATATTGACGATGATTAATTAAAACATCAGTTTTATGAAACACCAAAAAAATATAAATTTCAATAACATAATTTATGTTTGTTAAATATTGCAATATGACAATATTTAACTTTTTTTTTTGTTGGTCAGTATTTTAATTATTATGACCTATAAAGTATGCTTAGGTATATTGTTCTGGTATTTTATATCGTTTTTAGATTTTGTTTCATATTATGTTGATGCCTTAAAAATAGAAACAACAAACAAAAAAACATTTTTAAATTTTTAAATTTTTACAACAGTACCTATCCGTAAAATCCAAAAATGTTTTATTTTAATAATAACTAAATAGGTTTTATTTTTTATTTTGAAATGTGCATTATTTTAAATTAAATATGTGACTTGACTTTGAATGGAACTGTCAGTAATTTTTTTAAGTGTGTAATAGACGTGCTTTTGAATTTTTTATTAGGTTATGTTGTGTATACAATTCGTCAAATATAAAGACAGACATGATAGGCAGCTCTACCCCTTTGTCAAATGTATATACAATACCTATACATACCGATCGGAAGAAAATTATTAATTCATATGGCTTTGGTATAAAATTCAAAAGTGGAATTTCTGAGGTAAATTGACCAACTAACGACTGACTATTATTTATATTTAACTGACTTATTGGACTCGTTCGACAGTCGCTTTGGTGTATAAATTTAAATTTCCCGTCACCTTTCGTGTTTGTTTCCCCTCAACTAGACTTCCCTATACACAAAAAAATATAGTCCACCGAGGTTAAACGTAATAAATGGCTATAGGGTGTTTGGGTTGTCTTTTTTGGCGCGTTACGTTCGTATAAATAAGACACATCACTTCTGACTAAATCGCACTTCCGAACACGAAATGTCACCCTTGGGAATACATACTACTTATGGCCTTTATCTTTTTTCACTCGTCTTGTGTAATAGTTCAATGTGTTTTGCGAATCCCTAAGTCTTTATTATGAAACTCGTGAATTTTCATACGTTCGTTGTGGTCATTTTCAGCTATATAGGTACTGGCATATTACTATTGGATTTTTCACATTTTATTTTCAACGAGTTTCCATTTGTATTAATATTGTGAAAACGTGATCAAAGTTATTGTTAGATATGAAAAGATGTATAAATAAAAGTTTTTTTTGTTATACACTTTATTTCATATAGGTTTTGTATWTCAAGTCCATTGGGAAATTAACAGTAAAGTTTAGTTTTAGAAATTAAACGATCTTATATATTAACTTTGATCATTAACAAACTTGGAATTACTCATGGGAAAATATATTTCTAATTTTGACTTCAGAATATTATAGAAAAAATAATAAGTGATTGTATAATTGGAAATTGTTAAAAGTATTTAAAAAAAATAGCTACTGATATCACGTGCTGTATTTTGTAAATAGCTTACCCTTAGCTTATAACTGCTTTGGTCACGTCCCTTAACAATAGGAAGTGTGTGTATAAATCAGGTCCTTGTATAATATCTCGTGCCGACTCTATTCAAAATATCTCGACCAATTCCCTTTAGGCAGTGTACTCGCGACGAACATAAACACAAAACAATAGCCGCATAGCACGAGCCCACAACCCTTTGAAATAGAACCCTTCTTTATACCGCGAAATAGAATACTATAATAGTATAATAATTTTTTTTTTTCACAGGTATCGATGCCCAGAGTAATAAAAGTGAAAAGTCTCAATCACCGGTTCCAGAAGAAGGTAAGTTTAAAAATACTTATATTTAGACTAGATTAGGATAGGTAAGTGTGAATCGAGTATTTTTTTATTCGTGTTCGCTATTGTAAAAAGTATTATACATAGTCACTGGGTATATTTTACGCAGGTAGGTAGTTACTCTTAAAATGATGAATTTGATAAAAAATAATATCGTATATTCAATATACGATCATACAGCTCGTTTGGATTAACCTCGATCATAACTTCAGGGGTCAGATTCAAGTAAATGTAAAACCATATAAGAGGGTGAAAATGGGGTAAAAGAGATTCACTCCCTATATTTCTGCATAAAATATAAAAACTGCATAATATAGCATAGGCTCAATTTGTGTGTTCGTGAACCCGTAAAACTATATTTTTGGCTTTAAAATCAACCCCTAATCGTTCATGGGAAATTATTTCTCTCATGATTGACATGGAACGGAATTTATTTTTCAAAGTAAAAAGTACAATTTAGCCCGCATATGGGGGTAAAAGTGATTCAGCAAGATTTTCTCTTGTTTGTAAAGATAATAATACTAGTTTTGAAAATGTTCAAAACTTGTCCTAATTTTAACATTAGTGAGTACATTTAGACTATATTTCTTTTATTTATATTCAACAAAACTAGACATACGGGCACCAGCATAATAATTAACAGAGGATTTGACATTGGGTATAAAATCTGGTGCAACCCTCAATACCAATGGTCATCACGATTCCCCCCTAATTATAATAGGATGTACATAATACTATAATGGTTTATAAAAAAAATTACATCTATAATAATAAATTATATCTTATATAATAAAACGAAATTTAAAATAAAAACACAATGTTAACACAGTGTGTATAGATAATCTGTTTTATTGATGAAACTATAATTTAAAGATTATAACCGAGTGAAATTTAAACGTCAGTAAAACTAGAAATACTATGTTGGCTTTATAAATTGGGCGTGTGTTACGCACATTCAGCGGGTTAAAAAAGGGTAGTTGGAAGCCATGTTCAATGCGAACCCTCGTTTGCATAACTAACCAATTGCAAAAGTACATGACTTAGATGCGGGGTTAGTTTTTTGTAATCGTCTTTTGTCCCTACATACAATTCATCATCGGTCCAATCATGGTGCTGTATTATAGAAGCGTAAATTATTCTATAATCATTTTTTTAAACCCTTTCTACAAAAAGGGTGAGGCTCGTGGCAAATGACACCCCTTTCGCGCACGAGTCAAGCAACACAAAAAGTATTGTACATCAAATGATTTATGTATGAATTGAATGTACTAATGTATGAAGCTTGTTAAAACTTTTAAATCGGTTATGTAACGATTTTTTTTTTCATCATAAAACAGTGATTAATATTATCTTTTGTATCATAGATGATAATGGAGACGAGGAAAGGGTGGAAGATATCGTTGATCACAGCGAGGACAGTACTGGAAGTGATTTGTTGCTCAACTCAGATGGATCACCTGACAGAATTGGAGCATTAAACTTGGTAAATTTTAATCAACTTTATGTGTTATAGGTAACTGTTATAAGTGCATAACAAATAAAATAGACTTGCTAGACATATTTCGCTAATGACATATTATATTAAGCACATATAGTTGGAAATAAATATATATGTACTAATAATATAATCATATAGGTACCCACCTTATTCACTTTATTATTCAAAAGTTCAGTAACAGCTATTTAGTACAATATTGTAAAACGTTGTTAAAAAAAAGTATAGTTAGGTTGTATTTAAACATATTTCAATATTTGAACACTGCGCATATTGTGCCAATATTACGGTTAACCTTACCTCAGAGCTTTTATTTAGTATATTATAGATATTATATTGTGTATATATATAATTTAAGCAACTGTAATAGAAGTTAAAACAAAAATTCGGGTTTAATTGGACACTTTATGCAAAGACTCGGTCGTTATTATAATTTCATAAAAATAATACCAATCGAAATATTATTCGTACTTTGTACATACCTATATATTATTATTGAATACTTGAGATTTTTTACTTTTCGTTATTCAAAACCAACCGTATTTATCAGTTACTACAAATCGCAATGATTTTTCGTGAAATACGTTTACAGATTACTTACACCCACATTACKTATACTATATTATATACTGTATATGTATAAGTAAGTAGGTAGGTAGGTACGACTACGGATTGTAGMTGCGATTGTAAACTGTGCCCCTATTTTTTATCAAAATTATAAAAGTGACATGTAAACTGCGCCTGGGCAAACTTTTAAAATTTGGTATATTTTTGGAAAATTAAACTAAATTACTAATCTAAAATTACAATCTTTAATTCATTACATCTATGTATAATATAAATAATTAATAGAATACAATTAGATTTTTTTTTACATGAAATATATACAATCTATACCTCATGGCACAATAAGTAAATGTGATACAATAGAGTAATAGACAAAAACATATAAGGTATTAAAACATAGTAAATATTATATTAAAACAGTTTACAATAAATTATATAGACATGTTAAGTTCGAGAAAAAAACACCCATTTAATGACACCTACTCTTGTTTTTAATATATGTATGCTAATTTATAAACACACACACACATATATTATTATACTTTTTTTTTAGAACGTGATTTAATTATTTATTTACGGCACCATACAGTTAAATTAAAAATTAAAAATAAATATAATTTTAAAAAGTACAATATTAGGACAAAAAAAACATATTGTTGATACATATTCATCAATTAAAGTTTGACCACTGTTATGAAATAAAATTTCTAAGATATTTGTTTAAGTTATTTGTAAAAACAGAGATTTTTCTAAACTCCAGTCATTTTCTATGTATTTATATTTAGTTTTATTCTTTACTTAAAAAATATATTTACTATGTCTTTTTTCTTGGTTATTATTKAATGTATATTTTTTCTTTTTATTTACTATATTGTTAAGACTGAATTCAAATTCTTAATCCTCATGACATTGCTATCACGTATGCTTATAGGTGAGTTTTCAGCTTGTATTAATTTGTTACTTCTTTTGTATTTTGTTGTTGGCAAGAAATTAATATATATTATTACATTATTATTAATTGAAAAAGTACACAATCATAGTGACTTTAATAAATCAAAAGTTTTATATATTTTACAAATGGGGCACAGCTTAAGTTGTACTTATTTATTAACATATAGATAAAAATTTGGGCGTAGTTTCCAAAAAAAAAAGTCATTTGGGCGCAGTTTACATATGCCCCCGATTGTAGATATACGTTTATGTTTCCCAACACACTTAAACACACGATATATCATGTCGCTGCGAATATTACGGTGTATAATATACTTTCCTATTATATTATAATATTTAATATTACAAACACTCTATAGGTAATACTATATTGTGATACTTACCTATTTACAAATTATAACATATTACAACCATCGGTCTCGCGTACGTGTACCTATGTAACAAACGAGCGCGCGCACGCACTCGCTAACAAAATACTATATATGTATAATAATGATTATTGTATTAAAACGTCACAAAAAAACGCACTCTGTACTCGCGGTTTAATATTAGGCAGTATATATATATATATATATATATATATATATATATCAAGTGTATGGTCATATAATGTGTCGGGTGGTGTTTGTTTTACGCCTTGTCGTTAGGTGTTTTACCGGAGCCCCGGGGGACGGGCGCGATTAGAGGCGCACTGCAAACCACTGGCTACTCGACGATTTAATAAATTCCACGCTGGCCGCCACTAATTACGCGTAGGTATCCGTATAGTTTGTAATTTCTCGAAGGTACAATAACGTTCGTGCAGTGAAATCATGACGGCCTCGGCGGCGGTGCGGTTGTATAATAACGACGCGCACAAAATTCGACGTATTTCTATGTGTATATTATAATAAACACACACACACACACGTGCGCACACACATATACATATCATGCACCTTTAATATATATATTATAATAATATCGTATATCTTTTAATATGATATATAACCTGTACAGCTCATCTGCCGGGAGCGTTAACCCACAGGCTCGATAATTATTCAAGTCGTTGGAACAAAATTATCCTGTGCGCGTGTGTACTCATATCTTTCTCTGGTCATACAATGGATATTAATGTTGACGAGCTATATTCAGCTCACTCTATATTTATTTCTAATGTGATATATTAATTATTTCCCTGCAGTTAGCATTTATACGCAATATACACACAAAGCATCTATATATAGCACTTATCACATAAAGTATAAACATGAACGTGAATAGTAATTTTCCACACGCCTAATATATAGGTTAGGGGTGTATGTACACAATATCGTATATATGCGTATTATATAGTCCAATCCGTTTTCATTGTGCAATAACGCCATGTCTTATATCGCTATATCCCTAATATATTCCGAGTGTCCGGTCAACATCATGCCTTTGATATGCGTTAGACTACTCCCGTTCGAATATTTAAACATTTACGGTCTATTGAAGATTATACATCGATAGGTTTCCTATACATATAATATATATATATATATTATACATAATATGTGTGGCTCGAGGCTATCTAATATTCGACCCTTCTTTAATATAGTTCGGCACAAAAAGAGTGCGAACTGCGGTCAAACTAAGGGCCCGACGTATGCTATTTAAATAAATAAAAAACTCATAAAAGGCACAAAAAGTCGCCCCTTTCGATTTCAGCAAACATTATGCTGTGTGTTATATAATATAGTATATGGGAACTCATCGAATATGTATCCACAATAAAACACACATACGAACTGTCTTGCGCAGTTACAAACATATAACATATCGAATCCAATATTATGCTATATTATCCGCAATTTATATATGTACAGTTTTTGTTTTACTCAGCATCCAAAATTATATACCGGGCTTGAATTTAAAATTCAAATTCGGAATTTACCACATCGAATTTCCATTTGAAACGTATCTACGATTTTCGTTTCTTTTTATAATATACATAGAAATGATGTTGCCGTGTCACCGTAGTGCCTTTTGTTTTAGAATTTCGAGGAATGTGACAGAATTTTGGCTCATATTCGAATGTAAGTAAAAAAAAAAACTTTGGTGCGAAGTACACGTGTATAGGTACGCTGTATTTATTAGGTTTAGAGGTATAGTACAACATTTTGAAAATACTGCGCCTGTTCGGTCAAATTAAATAAAAATTTCAGTTTACTTATTCCGCATGTTTATACAAGTGAACTAGTATTTGTCAAAGACGAGAAAAGTGTTTTACTTACGTGTCCCATTGTGTAGTTGCGCGTCTCTATTATGATTATAMGAATTTTGAAAAATCGATATTCATAGTTGGTGACAGCCTGGCGAGAGGGGAATGATTATTTTTTCATTATAGATCTCGACAAAAGTTTGGTGTATAGCCGCAGCGCCGCCGAATGCCTTACATCCTAAAGCGCACGCAACCCAAAAACAACACTGCGAATCGACGAGGGAAATAAGTTATAATTAAATAAAAGGAATTTTGACAGCCGTCATAGTTTCGTATATAGCGTATAAGACACGCGTATGAAGCAACGAAAACAATGACACACACTCGCCATATATCTACCGGTTGATAGAAATTGATTAATAACTTTGGCGAAATGCGCGTAGGTACCCATAGACTCCTCTGCGTCACTCCTCCCAACCCCTGCCGCGTTGTCAACACCCATCGTAATAAGGCCCAAGCATTCTTCCTAATGGCTTTTCCAGGTCTCAGTAAAAATGGTGGCGATGGAAAATTATTATTTTCCCCGTAAAGGTTTTCTCTCGCCGCTGCCAAACGTGTCAATTATTATCATACACACTAGAACACTACACTTTCTCTGTGGTGCCGGAATCTATACTCACACACATAATATTTTGGAAATTATGTTTTTTACAGAATTGTCAATTTTTTTTAGTTCAGTGTCCTAACTATAGAACCAAAAAAAAAAAAAAAAAAAAAAAACAATAGAAAAATGTCTTATTATTATCGTAATATAATTCATAATTTTCCTGTAATTATTTCTTATATATACGAGAATAAAATGGACTTAAATGTTTTGTAATTCATATTTGATTTACTTTTCTTCAATGATAAATCGTTTATCAGCTATAAAAACCAAATTATTATCGGTAAAAAAAAGTATGATAATAATGGATTCGTTTAATCATCTTGAGGAGGGGGATGATTTATTTTTTAGATATAGTCCAAATCCTTCATAGTACATTTTATTAAAAGTGACGGTATGCTCTTATATTTAAAAAAAAAACCATAATAATTTTTTTTATGTGGGAAATTTATTACTCTAAACATTTTTTACATAAAAAATTTTTTTTTTTTCTAAACATTTTTACCGGAGAATGAATACATGGGTACATAAAATGTTATCGAAGTATGCACTGTATTTTTATTTTTAAAATCTGAACACCTTAGTATGTAACATGTGTGCGTGTACGCGTATGCATTTTTATCCGTTTCGACGATCAGTCAAGGTGTATTCGCATCGTAGGTTTTTATTTTTTTTTGAGAGATTTACGCACTTGCAATATCTTTTTTCGCAATTATAACACGAAAAAAGATAACGAGGTAACGGAGGTAAAATGTAAAACTGTTCAGAGATAAAAAATACAAATAAAAACGACGTCCACGTGCCACCAACGCGACGTGTATACCACCTATTACTATTATACACCTATTAAAACGAAATAATGAAAAAAACTCGATAAAAAACTGGCAGCCGGTGTTTGGTTACAAAAAACAAGTCATAGTTTTTTCGGTGTATATTATACTTAATACTACCTATGTGTGTTTATTACGCACAATATAATTATAATAATAATATCGTTTTTTTTTCTCGTATTGCGCTTTTGCCTATCCATTCAAATTGTCTATCATATGCTACATTATTGTGTTACAATTTCGTAAAAATAATACATATGCTATTATTTTATTATTATTATTATTATTATTAGATCGTGTACTTACCGCYGAGGCTGACCTCGTGTAATGTCACGTATTCTCCGCCGCGTTAGTCGTTATTTTCCAGTTTCGTTTTTCCGCGCTTCGTCGTCGGTCGCTCACACATTATCTGATTACCATATTATAATAATATATACAACATTATACGTTTGTAATACAATCGATGACTGGACAATTTGTAAACAAAACGATCGAAACACCATTCAACAAGTCTCCTCCGTGATATTAGATATTACGTTATACAGAATATTATATTATACTGTGCAGTCGTATAATAATATGTACCTTTTACACAGCGACGGCTCAACGCACACTGACGAGGACGACGATGAAACTTTTGCGTGTCACGAAGGAGACTTACCACTACGTGCGAACTTTTAACGTCCTCTTATTATTGCTTTATGCGCCAATCCTCGCGTAACTGCGGCGACCAACCGACTATGACACGTGACTCGTCAGCAAACGTTTTCCAATTGTCGTTTCGAGTATTCTATTTAAATTTTCCTCGAAATCACACCGCCCCCCCTCCACCCATAATTCACCAAACGCTCTTTTAAGAAAAAAATTATTATTATTTTGTTTAGTTTTAGTTTATTTATAAATACTGTGTTTCCGTTAATCGGTTCGCGTTACTAAAGCGATAAAAAATTTCAAATAATTTTATTAAATAATTATTAAATAATCGTACGAAACTACGGTTTGCGTTTATCATTTTCAAAATAACCGTAATCGGTATAATATAAACTAACTATAAGGATTTAGTTTTTTTTTCTGTATTTTCAAGTCTGACATTCGAGTAATATATTTTAATAATATATTAAYCCTTTAATTTCATTTAGTTTTGTATTACTAAGTTATTTCTTTATTTAATAAACGAATTATTTTTAAATTACGCGTTTATTCACATTTAAATATCATTTCTAAGTACTTGGTAGGTGATTTGTTAGTGTTGTAGTGCACTAGTGCCTCTATTATACTTATTGTATAACTCTTTTATAGGTACTATATGAGTAGGTATTCGAAAATCCCATCATGATTGTATCTTTGTTATTCAACTTATTTTTCCTATGTGACTACTATATTTCATTTAAATTATATTGAAATGACAATTTTATTGACATCGATTTGCATAATATTTTCATAAAATAAAACTATATTCCTTAAGAGGCAATGAATGTTTCAGTATTTGAACAGTTTTATTTGCGTTTTCAGGTTTCACACAGACACTCTGGTAGCTCTTCGAGCTCAGGCGTTAGCAGTACCGGACCATCGGGAAATTGTTCAGCAAATGTAACAAGTGSTAGTGATCCATTAGCTGCACTACAAAGTCAGCAATTTGCACAGGTATAATTAATATATTACATTTGTTAAACATAAGAAATTCATATCTAATATGCTTATAATATATTATAGATTCCTGGATTGGGAGTGTTGTCACCACAAAGCAATCCATTGATTGGAAGTCCCCCAGGGGGCCAATCATCTCTAACACCTCAAGAACTTCAAGCACTTTTCCAACAACAGATTCAATACTTACTTATGAGACAGTCTACAGCAACACATCAGAACCAGACTCCATTTTTTTTCCAAAATCAAGTAATTTAAATCAAAAATCATTCTACATTGTATACTTGTAATTGTTAACTAGTTATTAATAATATGGACATGTAATATTTAGGTTCACCAAGCATTGACTCAAGCATCACTTCAACTACAACAGATCCAACAGGCTCAAAATATGACTAACAACCATCAGCATTCGCCTGTTGGTAATGGTCCTAATCAGTCTATACGTCCAGCTGCTTCTTCAACACCATCACATCATTCTAAACACTCTGCTCAGACCCAATCATCGAATAATGACTTGGATCTATCTGCAGCAGCAGCTCTAAGCCGACTGGCAGAAACTAAAACTAGCACTGATGATACTACCGATCTCGAAGAATTAGAACAATTTGCTAAACTTTTTAAGCAAAGACGCATCAAATTAGGTAAGGATACCATATTGTGTACATTTAAATGACACAAAATCATTTATATGAATTTCTTAAATTATTTTAAATTATTTTTATAGGTTTTACTCAAGGTGATGTAGGCCTTGCAATGGGAAAACTGTATGGCAACGATTTCTCTCAAACAACAATATCTAGGTTTGAAGCGTTGAATTTGTCATTTAAGAATATGTGCAAGTTAAAACCACTGTTGCAAAAGTGGCTTGTAGATGCTGATAGTACAATGACCAACCCTAGTGCTTTGTGTAATCCTCTGACAACACCAGAAGCAATCGGAAGACGTCGCAAGAAACGTACGTCTATTGAAACATCTATAAGATATTCTTTAGAAAAAGCATTTAGGGCAAATCCTAAGCCTACATCCGAAGAAATATCTGTATTGGCCGATAACCTATCCATGGAAAAAGAAGTTGTTCGTGTATGGTTCTGCAATCGCAGGCAAAAAGAGAAACGCATTAATCCGCCAACAACAACTATGGCTGGTCAAACCACATCTACCAACACCGATATGTTTACCGCTTCAATGTCAGTACAAAACCAGAGTGACATGTTTCCCATGCTAACTTCTCCAGGACATCCACTGGCACTTGTATCTTCTCCATCCATCGGAGGTCATCATCACCATCACCACCATCAGAATAATAGTGAGTGACATTGGTCCATCTCATCGTCCCTAAACAATGGATTTGATGAGCTCGGTCAACGTAGATATTTCAGGGCTCCTATTGATGGCAAATTATCACTCTGTTAGTCATATAAAATTTTGTAATGACTTTCATACAGAAAATTAGCAACAATTCCTATTTGAAACAAATAATTAAAAATAAAAACAATTAAAAGATCTATCCTCGCAATACTTAATTAAGTAAATCAATTATGATTTAATTTATTACAATATAATGTTAATATTATAGCATATGTATACCTATAACTGTTTATAAATAATATGTACATACAATTATTATTTTGTAACAAAGTAATAGTGGTTAGTATTTTAATAATTAATCATACTTAGTAATTTAAATTTAGATAAGWATTTTTTTTTTCGTTCTGTTGTAACAATGTTAGTGTAATATTTCATTTCTTTTCATATTGTAAATAGTAACCTTAAATTTGGGGRTTAATCAAAATAATGTCATTGTCAGTCTGAAAATCAAACTTTTAAGTTTTTTTTGTGCTAACAAGCGCTCTTTCTTTTGTTAATTAATTTATATGTAAGTATTATTTTTTTTTCAATGTGTTTCTCGATAAAACTGTTTTAGTGATAGTTCATGCTTGTAAGGGATTATATTAATCTGAAAATTGTATTGAACTATATATAGTATTAACATATTCAGAGTTATTAGTCTTAGAAAACCACTAATCGATGTCTTGCAGAAAATTATATATGTTAAATTCGTTATCATTTTCCATTGTTACACCGTTGCAGGTGGTGGTTTTTTAGGATTAAATATACTCTGAAAGTGTCAATGATGTTAAAATTATACAAATATACAACCTGGAGACTTGAAAAAAGTACAACTTTTTGTTTTTGAGATTTTTAAATATAATGAAATATTTGAGGAGACAATAACGATTTGCATAGTTCATTGTTTGCTGTGTTTTGTTAGTATGACTCTATAATTCAACCTATATATAATTAAAATTTGGTTTTTATTTTATTTGTTTGATTCAATAAACTAAATTCGAAATCAATAACTATCGGTTTTTGGGTCCATTCGCAGCTATGAAACTTTTTTTTTAAATTCACATATCATAAAATCCACCTTTTTTTATTCATTTCACAAAAGTTCCTAAAGTCTTGCCTAAAAGGCAATTGTGTAGTAATTAATCAATTCTTATCATATTTTAAGTCCTAGTGTTTATTTGCCTGGTATTATTTTGAAATTATTCCAGTAAATTCACCATAACCTACACAACAACCAGGGATTAATATGACATCGCTATGAATACAAAGAATGCCAAGAAATAAATCAATTTTTGTTTGGTTCTAACTAATTGTTGGTAACATTATCATTCCCATACAATGAAAATGTAGTCTTATAGCGGTAGATAATAATCTTATTTACATTAATGTTTTCATCCTCTCTAGTTTATTAATTTAGGTTTACTTTTATCTTCGATTACAGAGAACTAAAAGAGTTATTATTTAATTTTTATTCTTATGTATTTTTTCTATATTATGTTGTTCCTACAATTATGTGTTCAGCCTCTTTCTCTAAAATAGCCACAAAACCAATTTCAACATATCCCATAACCCTCTGATAAAATTCAAAATAGTCTTCTATCGTCCATTAATATCTTAAAATAGAAATGTTTTTTTTTTTTGTGGATTTAAAGTTGAGCTTGAATGTTTTGACACAACACTGTGACTGTGTATGTTATTTATTAGTGTATGTTCACTGTCAAAACATTTAACCTCAAAATGTGAACGGATCAAATAACCGGCCATGTTTGCTTAAACAATATTTTTAAGTATGCTTATGTTTTTCTAAAAAGATTAGCAGCTCTATCAACTTCAGTAACAAATTTAACATCAAAAAATTCAATGTATACCGTTCCATTGTTCATATCATTAGAATAGAGAGGTGTGTTAACGTAAATTAATTAATATATAAATGTGTGTAAATGAATATATATGTTATACACACATACACATTATATATAATTTTATAAATTTAAGTTAAATTAAATAGTTATTAAGCGTATTTGTGTTTTTTATTATTATTATAATATTATAAATATTAGGGGCCGTGTTATCGGTTTTGTATACGTCAAAAGTGTCAGGTAACTAAATGTTAAGGAGACATTAATTTTAGTCTTATTAGTATGTGTAAAATATTAAAATAATAAAACAAAGATTAACTGAAAATCCTTGTTAATTTTTTATTTTTGGTTACCTGTCATGTCACCCCTATTTCCAGTTTCAATGTGTACTAAAAATACAATAGTTTTACTTAACCTATTAGCATTAACTTACATATTATTTTTTTTTGCCCCAAACTTTGTAGATCAATATCTTTTGTTTTTGTTTTTTTTTTTTTTTTGTATGTATATAATTGTATCTTTAATTTATTATTATTATTATTATTATTATTATTTTTGTTAAATATTCCTTAAATATAATTTTTTTGTGAAAACTACATAAATATTACGTACATTAAAGAAATAATGCAATAATAAAGTGTTTTACTAAATTTTTTTTACACAACTTTGAGTTTTTCCGAATGACCGAGTGACTGAGTTTCATATCTTTTATTTAGATTTTCTAACATATATATATTAATATCATAGTGATTCTTATGCAATGAAAATTGTTATGACTGATTTATTTATTGAAATATAAACGCCAATTGGCAGTTATAATGTCATAAGGAAATAAACTTAAATTAAAAACTTGAGATAAGAGCTGTGAAAGAGTATATAAAAATATAAAACTAAAGGTTACAAGTTTTTCAAGTAGAAAAGGAATGTGTAAAGACCATACAAAATAGTGAGGATAGAGAAAAGAAAGAGTAAAAGGGATTTTAAAAATACTCATTCTCATACTACACTTTAAAAGAAAATTAACAAACTATTAGTCGGTTTCAATGTGTGCTGAGGGTTTTGAATTTTGTAGGACTTCACAGACAAGTGAATAATAGTTGTGGGTAGCCAGGATATTATGTTATAATTAGCATATGATAAAAATCTATTTTACAAGTAAAGGGTAACATACATGTATTTATTATAATGCTAAGCACCAAATCTAGGTCAATCCATATCTAAAATTGAAACAAAAGTTACAATCCTTTGAATCCGGATTAAAATACCCAATTTGGATTATGATATGAATACGAATTATAAAGCGTTTGGAAAACGATTATTAATAATATTAACCATGTTATATTTGGTATCAGGGGTTTCATAACATTGAGTCGTTTGTCAAAATAAATCTGAGATTGTATATTCGTATTATTTAGGTTGATAATAATGAAAAAATAGCGGATTATCTCAAAAACAATGAAGCTAGATTGGATCCAAAATTCAGGATTATTGACAGATTGAATCTGTGAATCCGGGTAAAACAGATTTATCTAAAATTTTGATTAAATAATTTTAATCCGTAATCCGGATTTGTCAAAATAAAATAACAAAACACTTAGACTTTTGGCTGATTTAAAATTTTGTTATGTAAAATGATACCTATAGTATGTCTCACGAAAGAACGGGACCGTTTCGCGCATGTAGAAAGAGCTCACCGTTTACTCCTCACCACGACCGCCGGCAACCACCAGCGACGACCGTCGTCGTCGTTGTAGTGCTGTGGTGCGGTGTGGCGTGGGGATGCGCAAGAATGACCGATTTTGGTCGAGACACGGTCCCGTTCTTTCGTGAGACAGATTATAAGAATTTAAATGCTATATTTATGGTAATCACATTACTACTGGTGTTCAAAGAAGAAAAGAATGAGTAGAATATTATTAATAGTATATCTCAAGATGAATGAAAACCCTTTTAAGCTCAAAACTATTTAGAAAATAAGAGTGAACTAGGAGTAATCAAGAYCTGGAGAAGGAAATTACTTGACACTTATAAAGTTGAAAGTTATGCCACAGTCGGCGATTCAACAGTATTTATGTCGGACTTAGTTTTATATACTTTWGACCTATACTCTTTTCTCGACATTTTATGTTATTATGGATCAGATTTTAATGTCAATATTTATCATAGGTTTTTATATTTTAGTAAAAGCTTTAGTGAAAAAATGCTTCTCAACTTTACTTACTTCGTAGTGAGTATGGTTAGTAAATCCTAATATTATATAGCTAAACCTAGCTTTTATCTAGTGATCAGAATTTATTTGTAACATGTATTAAAAATATAGGTAAAATATAGATAAAAT